ACGGGGGGGGAGCCGAGACAGACGGCCGGCCTTGTGGTGGTCACGGCGGCAGGACCCCACCTGGGGGACTTGGGATGACATGCTGGGCGTGCCAAGTCCCGAGAGGAGAATGGAGGAGGAAGGACCACAGCATGGCCGTCTCCCCGGAGGGTGATTTCTCTCTGTCTCTCCTGCCTCCACTGGCCAGTGAGCACATGTGAGAGGCAGCAGCGGGTGCAGGGCAGAACTGTCAGGGTTAGTGGGTTCAAGGCCTAAGGTCAGAGGAGGAGAGGGGAGGGGAACAGGAGGGGGGCGGGCTGATTGAACCCAAGCGAGGCAGTCACAGAGACACAGGGGGCCAAAGATTCAGAAAGGGGATCCAGAGAGGAGAGGACACTGACAGGACAACTCAGGAGGCCGGCTCCGGAGAGACAGACACACAGAGGTGAATATCGGAGCCACGGAGCGTGCCCGAAGAGAGACGTGGCAGGCTGCCCCTTAGTGGTCACAGGAGCTGCTCCTGCATGGCCACCGTGGTTTGAATCCCTGCCCTGGTGGCTTGGGAGACTCGCTGCGCATGTGTGTGCGTGTGACCAGAACCCTGACAGGGTGGGGGATGAGAAGAACTGTGACGTGGTCACGTCCTAAGTGGATGCTCTCCTTGTTTCTCCCCGGTGAGCACATATGCCCTCTGGCAAATAAAAACATAAAGAGCGAGAAATATGGGGACTTGGATGGAAGTACAGCATAGAGGAATGACCCCCCATACTCAAGTCTAGGTCAGCAATGGGGTGACTCACGGGCCTCGCCTGCTCTCCTGGAGCTTGGGGAGACTGAACAGCGCTTTAAAAGTCCAGCAGGGTCTGGCAACAGAAGCCAAAGTGGGGGATGCTTTGGACGGGGCACTTCCAGGAGGCCTTACCCCCGAGGTGGGGAAACGAGACCAGCATGGTAGCCGTCAGGGGCAGCGCCTCCTCGCCAAGGCTTTCCAGGAGGCCGGGGCAGTGAGGGTCAGCAAGCCGGACGAGGTGGGTGCCTGGGCTGTCCCGGGAAGAAGTTCCGATTTCACTCTGGGTTTGCTGGGACGCCGGAGGGCTGGGAGCACCAGTGGGCCACGTGTTTCTGTGTGAGCAGAACAGTGCTGGCAGGTCCATGCTGCTGTGCAGGAAGCTAGGAGTTAGGGGCTCCTTCCTCCACTGGGTGGGCTGGCCCTGGCCCCGCACCAAGGAGGACTAGTAGGGGTGGGGGATGGAAAACCAGGCATGGAGATGGAGCTGGAGCCTGTAGTGATGTGGGGAGGGGATGGGAAACCAAGGCCCGAAGAGAGGGGAACCCTAACCTGGGCTGCTATGGGTTACCAGAAAGGGGCCTGGGATCAGGAGCTCAGATTTGGATTCGGGGAGGAGGGATCAAGGATTCTCTTGGGTGTGCAGTTGGAGGTGGCTGTGAGCAATCCAGTCGGGGTAACCGGTAGCCAGTTGGGTCGCTGAGACCAGGGCTTGGGAGAGGGCCCTGTGGAAGTATGCACTTTGGAGACAGTCGTCATGTAGGAGACACTTAAAGCCAAGACCAGTGAGGTGACTGGGAGGTGAGTGCACAGAACCCACCCTGGCCAGCCACAGGAGAAGAGCTGGAAGTGGCGAAGGCAGCCGGGAGGAGGGGCCAGGAGGGAGGCGGAACTGGGAGAGCCGCAGAGGACAATGGCACCCAGCGTTTGCAGCGGGAGAGGGGACCAGCTGTGCCCGGTGCTGCTGAGAGCTTGAGGAAGACGGTTGAGCACAGTGGCCCTTGGATTCAACAACATGGCCGTGGTTGGGTGCTTGGGACAAGAGGTCATTTGAGGGTCCTGGGTGGAGCCTGCTGCGGGAGGGAACGTGGGGCAAAGGCAATGCAGGCCCATTGTTCTGAAGTGAACCCGGACCAGCCTCTAGAGTGGTTAAGGCGGCTGGGTTCCCACTGGGCCCCTTGGCTTC